GAATGAGAGACCCTCTTTTTGAAGGGACCAAGGTTGAGGAGAATGTGCTCTGCAGGTGCAGGGTTCACTCCAAGCTCTGATGGATGAGTGCGGCACAGCATATGGCAGTGCGGATCGATTCCGGATGAGTGGGATCACGGCATGCGTCGAACATGGAGTGGCAGTGGCTTGAGTGATGCAGATGAAACTGAGAATGTTTTCAATCCAAATGAATGATGTGGCGATTTGCACTAAAATATGCTATTATGCTAGTTATACTTTGCATGAATGAACATATCGCCACGTTTGGATGAAGCTGGCAATCCACATGAATGAAGCTGCACATGGCTCTAGAAGTCATTTTGCGTTTGGATGTCGCCCATGAAAATAGAAGTTTGTCTCCAGCGGAACTCGACCTCAGAGCTAAGCTCAAAAAACGGGTTATCGGCCCGGCGGTCATTGAGAGGGCAAGAAGTAGGCAAGCCTCGCGTGTCTCCAATATTAAACTGGGAGACGCCAACACTAAATATTTTCACCGAAGAGTTAACGCTAGAAGAAGGAAGAACCACATCCAAAGATTACGAAATGGTCAAGGCTGGGCGGTCTCACATGCAGAAAAAGTGACGGTGGTCCAAGAGCACTTCCAAAATATCATGAAACGTCCGCCGCAAAGACGTGTTGATTTAAATTGAGGGAGACTACAAATTTCCACGCATAATCTTGACATGCTGGCCGACGACTTTACAGAATCTGAACTCAGGAGTGCCATAAATCAGATGCCGACTGATAAGGCGCATGGACCGGATGGCTCTACGGGTCTTTTTTTCAAAGAATGCTGTAATATTATCAAAGGGGACGTCATGAACGTGGTTAATGCTTTCCATCAACTACACACCTCCAATTTAGCTATCCTCAACATAGCAAACGTCGTGCTTATTCCAAAAAAGGATGGGGCGGACTCAGTATCGGATTTTAGGCCCATAAGCCTAATCCACTCCTTCGCGAAGATCATTGCAAAGGTCTTGGCAATGCGCCTGGCACCTCACATGAACCGTCTGTCTCCAAGAGCTTGAGCACCTTTATAAAAAAAAGAAGCATCCATGACAACTTCATGTCGGTCCGATGTGCTGTGCGTCGATTCCATAGATCCAAGACCGCAGCCCTATTTTTCAAGCTCGACATAACCAAGGCATTTGACTTAGTTCGATGGAATATCTACTCACCCTAATGAGCAAGCTTAGCTTCCCCCAAAAATGGAGAGACTGGGTGGCTGCCCTTCTATCATCATCATCTTCCCGCATCCTTCTCAACGGAGTCCCCACTACACCTATCAAGCACGACCGAGGATTGCGCCAAGGCGACCCTCTTTCACCCCTGCTATTTGTCATTGCTATCGACAATTCAGGGGAAAACACACTGTCATACGGATATCCATGTATGCGGACGACATGGTAATTTTTGTTAAGCCATATAAGAGGGATGTCACTACGCTCGCTAAAATTCTTGTCAAGTTCGGGGATGCGACTGGGCTGAAAACAAATGTTGAGAAGTCATCTGTCATCCCCATAAGATGTCAAGGTGTCAACCTGGATGAGGTCAGCAAGACGAGCTCGCTTCCCAACAAAATACCTAACAAGCACCAGATTGTGAAGGATCGATTTTCAGTCTCTTGTTGACAAAGCCATGAGCAAGCTCACTATTTGGAATGGCAAGAATATTAACCATGCAGGAAGGTCCACTTTAGTCAAAAGCAGTACTCACCTCCAAAGCTGTGTACTGCCTCACATCCCTAAGAGCTCCCAAAGCCACGCTGAAGGAAATTGATACCCTTAGGAAGAGTTTCCTCTAAGCTGGATTCGAGAAGCTAACTGGGGGGAAATGCAAAGTGAATTGGCCACGTTCCACAAGACCAATTGAATCTGGGGGTCTCGGCATTCTACATCTTAGAAAATTTGCAAGAGCACTACGTCTTAGATGGCTGTAGAAAGAATGAGAGGGAGAAAGACGGCCGCTAACTAACTCAGACACACCATGTGACACGACTGATAGGCTCCTATTCGCTGCGGCAACATCAATCACAGTTGGCGACGGTAGGAGAACATCCTTCTGGAGCAGCGCGTGGCTCCAAAATCTAGCGCCAAATATCTTCCAAATTTTAAAAAATAAAAACAAATCGCTCAACGAAGCTTTGCACAACAGAGCCTGGATTAGGGACATAGACCTATAGCATGCAGGTTTCACTTCCCAACACTTCGTGGAGTATGTTCAGCTTTGGCACGTCCTAAACCACCTTCAGCTCCAATCAGACAGGGAAGACAACATCATTTGGAATTTCGTGCCAGATGGAAAATTCACAACACGATCGGCCTACCACGCGCAATTCATTGGATCAACGATGACCAATTTCAAACGACTGATTTGGAAAGTCTGGCACCACCAAAATGCAAGTTCTTTGGGTGGCTCGCCATCCAAACCAGAATATGGACCTCCGATAGACTACACATATGAGTATGGCCAAATAATGGTGTGTGTCCTCTTTGCAGACACAGTCAAGAATATGGAGTCCATCTCTTTCAAGACTGTCGTTACACTAGGCGCATTTGGGAGGGCATTGCAATGTGGCTAGGCAACGAACACCTACGGCCTTCCATCTGGGTGCTAGGAGACTCCGTACAAACTTGGTGGGAAAACCTAGATCGAACACCGTCGACGGCGAGGCGAGGGCTGCGCTCTATTATCATTCTTGTTTGTTGGGAGGTGTGGACCGAAAGAAATGCAAGAATCTTTGAGCGCAAAGAATCCGCACCAATGCATCTCTTCCAGAAGATCAAGGAAGAGGCTGGCTTGTGGGCAATGGCGGAAGCAAAGCGTATCTCCAATTTATTATTGTGCGTGTGATTTGAGGCCACCTGAGGTGGAGCGTGTCGGGCTTTTGCCCTCTTGTACACTTTTATATATGTTTGTACAGTGCCTTTCTAAACTCCCTTCTTTTTAATACAATAGGTAGCTCTCCTACCGGTTCCGTTTCAAAAAAAATCACCACGTTAATGAGAATACTTTTCGCTGAACCATTTGTGCATGAAAACAGTCAGCTATCTTTGTTCTTGAGACAGACACACAATCTTCACCTTACTTGCCAATAAGGCCATAATCCAGGCACAGGTCAACGGTCCTTGTTATACGGCTAGAATTGCAAGCATCAAGGTCAAATATAGATGTAGAGTTATTTTCAGTTTCAGTTATTTGTAAACCGAAGTTTACTTTTAAGACTGAATTCTATCTGATGAAAAAGTTATTTTCAGTTTCAGTTATTTGTAAACCGAAGTTTACTTTTAAGACTGAATTCTATCTGATGAAAAAGTTATTTTCAGTTTCAGTTATACGGCACTGGGGGAGAGCTCAGGCTCATCTCCACTTTTTCTCTAGGCTTCGAGAGCATAGACTTTGCCGCCGACGATCTCGGCCACCTGTGGCTCCACGCCCGGGCAGATTGCGGTTACCATATACCGTCCCGATCTCTTAGGCTTGTTTGCCTTATAAGTTGTACTTTTTCAATTAACGAATAATATTTTATCTCATACCAAATTAGCCAACAGTACTTTCAGCTATGGCTTATTAGCCAAACAAGTCCAAACAAATAGGACGTATAAGAGCGAATGTGGGCCATCGACCTCATCGCCCATAGACTAGGAGAGTAAACTAGACGTCTAACATGATGGATTAATGGTTGGAGTTGCTAAATTTGCAATATTTAGATCCCGTTCTTCAGCAGTATTTTTCAGCAAAAAAATAATATTTTTCTCTCACAAGAAATCAGCATCAGCAGCAGCATCAGCTAAATTTTAGCGAAACGAACAGGGCCTTAATTTGTTGTACTCAATGACGATTCAACCAGTGACGTTCTTTTATTGATTTAGATGCATCAATGGTTGGAGTTGCTAAACCTATAGCATGTGCTGTACTCGATGACGATTCAATCGACCATGTTCTTTCATCGATTTTAGATATGTTGCGCTCTAGTTCTAGAACGTTGGATATTACAACGTGCCTAAGGTTTTTGGTTAGCCGGTAGATTCGGTATAAGAAATCTACTATGCTTTTAGTGTTTGATGAGGCTCTTTTCATCTTAAGCGTTGATCAAAACCACTTGGAAAGAAGGTTTGGAGAGTATTTGATAGAATATTGTTTCTTTTTTTTTGTATTAGATAGAATATTACCTCTTTTTATTCCTAGTTCTTTCATATGTAATCTAGTCTATAGATATATTTTGCCAAGTTTTAACATTATTTCCTTTTCCCTTGGAAAAAAAAATCTATCAGTGAATTCCATATTTGTCCAGGTTATCTTTTTTTTTTCAAGTCATCAACCAGCTATGCTCAGGCTCGATCCGGCGCCAATTTGTTGATCTCTGCAAGGGAGTGGGAAAAACCTGTGATGAGATCCAAAATCCAATGGTGCCCTGCACCTGCACTGGTGGAATGGAAGTAAGGCCCGGTTTAGATCCAAATTTTTTTTTTAGATTTTAGCTACTGTAGCACTTCTTTCGTTTGTATTTGACAATTAGTGTCTAATTATGGACTAATTAGGTTCAAAAGTTTCATCTCGTGATTTCTCACCCAACTGTGCAATTAGTTTTTTTTTTTTCTACATTTAGTACTCCATGCATGTACCGTAAAATTCAATGTGACGGGTACTGCACAAAATTTGTTGGAATCTAAATGGTGCCTAAATGAAATCGGCATTCCATCATAAATCAGCGCACCAACCGCTGTACGCCAGCGCGGAGATGTGAGTGGTGCCGGTGCGTGGCCGCCCGCAAAGAGCCCCGGTGCACCGCATCGCACTCAACCACGTCCAAGCATCATGCCGCTGCGCCGCTGCTGCCTCACTTTCACTAGCAGCAGCAGCGGTCACAGCCGCCGCGCCATGTGCTCGCCACCTGCGCCTCCGACTCCTCCTGCGCACTGACCCTGACCCGCCCAGCCAGAGCCCAGAGGACGACAGCGCCAGCCGCGACCGCCATGCGCGCGCCGCCGCCCAGGCGGCGGCGGTCGTCCCCTGCTGCCCCGGCGCCTTCTCCATCCGCCGCCGTCAGCTCGCCGCCTTCTCCCTACGCGGCGTTCGCGTCGCTGGGCCCAGGTCCGGCGCCGGGTCCGGGTCCAGGTCCGGCGCCTGAGCCGTCTGCGGCGTTCGCGGGCGGCAGGCGCGGCGGATCGAGCCTGAGCCCGCCGCTCATTGCGATGCTGGCGGTGGTGGGCGCGGCGCTGCTGGTGGTGCTGTACGCGCGGCTGGTGAGCCGCGTGTTCCGCGCGGCGCGGCGGCGGTGGCGGCGCCGGCGCCGCCTCCGGCTGCTGATGATCCCGGGGTCCTCCCCCTCGGCGCGCGGCGGCGGGGACGATTCGTTCGCGTCCTTCACCACGTACGACAACTACTACCACACCTTCTCGCCCTACTACGGCCTGGACGACGCCGCCATCAAGTCGCTCCCGTCGGCGCAGTACCTGGCCACCGGCGCCGGCGGCGCCGGCTCGTCGTCGTCGTCGGCGCGGGGCTCCGGCGCGTCGAGGGAGTGCGCGGTGTGCCTGCTGGAGTTCGCGGATGGCGACGAGCTCCGCGCGCTGCCGCTGTGCGCGCACGCGTTCCACGCCGACTGCATCGACGTGTGGCTCCGCGCGCACGCGTCCTGCCCGCTGTGCCGCGCCGCCGTCGCGCTCCCCCCGCCCGTGCCGTCGCCGCTCCACCGTGCCGCCGCGCGCCGGGTGCGGCCCAGCCTCGACGACCTCCTCTTCTTCCACCCGGTGCCGCCTGCTCATGCTCCGGTGGCGGCGGCGGTGGGAGCGGGCGAGCAGCAGCAGCAGGCGGAGATCGCGCCGGCCAGCCCGGACCAGCAGCTGGCGGTCGGCGCCAGGGACTTCCTGCTGAAGCGCTCCTACTCCTTCGGCTTCGAGCGCAGCCTCGCCATGGTGGAGGCGGCGTCCACTGCGTCGCCTCCGTGGCGGTACCGCGTGTCCTCCGCCGCAGGCGCCGCGACCGACGGCGGGACCACCTCCCGGGGCCGCGGCTTCTGGAGCAAGCGCTGGCCGTCCCCGTTCGGCGGCGGCGGCGGCACGGGCGGGTCCGCGGCCGCACGCGTCTTCTCCTTCCGGTCGTACCGCGGCGGCGGCGGCGGCGCGGCGTGCAAGCCGTCCCCGTTCTCCCGCCGGTTCCGCGGCGGCGGGAGCGGCTTCTTCATGTCGCTGGCGTCGGAGCCGCCCTCGATCCTGGCCGCCGCGGCGAGGCGGAGCAGCCGCGCGGCCGCCGCGTCGAGCCGGCTCCGGTGCGGCGACCCCGAGGCGCTGCTCTCGCCGGACCGGCTGAGCTGCTGAGCTAGGCAGCCGGGGAACGGTGGCAGTGAGCGGTCGATCGGATCTCGGGCTCCGGTCGTCCCCTCGTGGTGGTGGGCCTGGCCCCTGCGTGGAGACGGGGGCGGGCAGTAATGGCGCGATAAATGCGAGGCCCTGCCGGGGTTTTAATGGCGGGAGGACGTGTGCCCAGACCGCGTGGTGTCGCTTCCTGCAGCCAGCCAGCCAGCAGAGCAGCTCGGGCGGGCCCCAGCTCTCACTCCCACTGGCTCCACTGCGCTTGGGCGCTTGGCTCGGCTCGGCTCCGTCTCATCATCCATCACCTTTTCGTCGTCGTCGTGTCGTCGCCCGGCAACGTTTCGTTTGGTTTGGTTTGGTGTTTGACCAAGGGCGGTGCACGGTGCGGTGCCGGCGTGTAGGGCCGGTGGGGCACAGGCATGTCTGGGCCGTCCGATCAGAAAACGACGGCATCCGTCCGGGTGGAGCCCTCGTTTTCTCGCCGGACGGCTCGTAGTCATAGTCATAGGCGGCGAGAATGGATGATGCATGCGTGCTTCTCCTTCGTCTCAATTCTCAACCGTTTGGTTTGTCTCATGGCCACGGCTAGGCCAAGCCTCTCCTGTTTTCGACTGTATTTCCAGCGGTACTATATTGGAATTTATACTAGCTTTGCTTTTTTTTTATAAGTTCCATAAAACGTACTCCTGTAAAGGCAGTTCCATAACTTTGATGTGTTGGGTGTTTTGGTACGCATGTCATGTCTCACGGCGCACCATCGGTATGTGCTATGTATAGCACGGCAGTTAATACTAGCTCAGTAAGGCCTTTAGATTGCAAATTTTTGCAACTTGGACACTGTAGCATGTTTCGTTTGTATTTGACAAACTTTGTCTGATCATGAACTAACTAGGCTCAAAAGATTCGTCTCGTGATTTACAACCAAACTGTGTAATTAGTTATTTTTTTACCTACATTTAATGCTCCATGCATGCGTCCAAAAATTGATGTGATAGAGAGAGTGAAAAAAAATTAAAATTTGAAGGTGATCTAAACAAGGCCTAAACTTCCTTCCAAAAATATACGACTCTAGAGTTGAGATTTAGTCAACCTCACTGGATTTGACTTAGTATATAGAAAATATTATTAATATTTTGGTTGTCTAAATAGATACAGACAATATGAAAATGTATTTCATAGTAAATCTAATTTCAATTATTTTATATCATAATTCATAATATATATATATATATATCAAAGTCGAGAAAGATTGACTGGTAGGAACCAAGAACTGTATCCGATAAAGTAAACCATTTGCTTGCTTTATTACAAATAACTAAGTTTTATTTCTCACAAATAAAGGTACAGACGTAGACGCTGGTACATATGTTAGTACACTTACTCCTATAAACACACGCACACCCCCGACCACTATAAGCACCTCTGAGAGGCTAAATGAGCAGATATCGAGATTGAAAGGCATCACATACGCCTCGTTGTCGACGGGCACATCATCTAGCAATGAAAGAATAGTGCCACAAAATCTATAGTGAAATAAATCAAGGGAAAAAAATATAAACACGCATGTCAAGCTAGGAACACAAGCCAAATAGGCAGGTTCCACCACAGCAAACCTAACTAGTTCAGCTACACTCGGTTTAGATTTCATTGTTTAGGCCAGTCTTTTTTCTTAAACAAAAGAAAATACTCATACTAGTATCTCTATTACTAATTGAGAGGTTCCAATAAAGTCTCATATTAGTCCTAACGAGAGATGTCCTGGAAACATTAATTTTAGAAAATTCTCACAATTGTTTGAAAAGTATGGCCATTGATTCATTAGGCTATAGTCACATTGATAATAAAAACTCGAACGGGGTTAAGACTGCTCCCGCAACATATTAAATAAGACGAAGGATCTTCTCATCCGGCCGAAAAAACCTCCGAACCCCCGCCCCCACCCTTACACGGTGGCTTTCCGACGCCCAAGTGAGAATTGGGCCGGTGCCCCCCAGTGCTTTGGTTATGGAGACGAACGAGGGGATTTTTTTAACCTCAGCATAAAATTCGCTCCCACGAGGAGTCGAACTCAAGACCTGAGGAGTGCCGCCGGGCCACCTAACCATTTGAGTCACATTGATAATAACAACCACTACATATTGTTTTCTAAAAGAAAATACCCACCTGTACAACATAGAGTAGCCCCTCAAATATGCATTGAAACTGCCTACATTATCATATAGTATATAATCTTAAACATACGTATACCCTCTAAATTTGCATCCAAATTACTCATACTGCCATTACGATATAGTATAATCTAAGTAACCACTTCGTTTGCTTGACAAATATATATTTCCTATTGTCGGGTATCGATATTAGGGATACCCCCGGATGGCTCGAGACATATTGAAAGGTCTCGCTCGACCTCAAGGCCGCGGGCTCCGTCTCGCCCGACCTCAAGGCCGCGGGCTCCGTCTCGCCCAACCCCTTGGGTGCGGGCTTCGTCTCGCCCGACCCCAAGGACGCGGGTTCCGTCTCGCCCGACCCCTTGGGTTTGGGTTCCGTCTCGCCCAAGGTCGCGGGCTCCGTCTCGCCCGACCTTGAGGACGCGGGTTCCGTCTCATCCAACGGGGACCCATACCGCCGCCAACCACTCCAGGTCCAAGCGTATGGGCCTGAGCCAAAACTCTGACGCCAGAAAAGAGGCTGGCACGCCTCGATGTAACCCGTGGTCATGACGGGCCATACCTGGGATTCACATCAAGAACAGTGTCGGACGTGCCGGTGTTGTTCTGCCTAATCCTAGTACGGATGCTGATAGACATGTTAGTTCACCACGACGTCCGCCGGGATGGAGTGGAACGCCATGACCGACAGATGACGCCTACGCATGGCGCCAGTGACGAACAGGGCCGCGACATGGAGCCATCCCTGTTGACATCTACTGGATCAGCGGGACCCGCATGAAGGAGAAGAAGGACCCAACAACCCTGGAAGCCTTCTTCTCTCTCTCGTTCTTCTCCTTTTCCTCCTCTGTAACCCGTGCTTTCCCTTCGCCTATAAAAGGGGAAGCAGGGCGCCCCTACCGGGGCATCTAAACACAAGAGCACGACACGAGCACACGGCTAAGCGGCAAGCGAGCTCTCAGCACCCATTCACTCCTTCCACCAGAGACTTGGGATCCTCCCCCTCTCTCGCCTGTTTGTAACCCCTACTGCAAACCAAGTGCCGGTAACATGAGCAGCAGCGAACTGGACGTAGAGACATTCTGCCCAAACCAGTATAAACCCTTGTGTCCTCCGAGCACACCATCCGAGCCAGACGCGCAAATACAAATTTACTCGTCGGTGGTCCGAAAACACCGACAGTTAGCGCGCCAGGTAGGGGTTTTTTTGCGCATCTCGACGTCCACATCAGGCCTCGGATGGCTAGTTACGGCGTCAGCTGGGCCCCGGGCATGCACGTGCGCTTTGGGAACCTGGACTTCATCGTTACGACAGAGGGAGAGTTGGCGTAGGTTCCCGCAGCCGTCCAGCCTCTCCACTTCACCGGCCTCGACGCGATCGCCGAGGCGCTTAAGGAGCTGCAGCTACATGCACCGGAGGCCTGCGCCCCTAGGAGCGACCAGCTCCTCGGCTTCGATTACGGGAGGCTAGAGCGCCAGCTCGGCGCCTTCCTAGGACCCCGACTGTCCCAGGAGTACCTGCGCCGCCTCACCTTCTCGTTCGCCAATGTCATGACACATCTTGCAGGAGGAGAGCCGCTCTCCCTGGAATATCTCATCCGAAGTGCCCCAACAGCACTCCCATTCGGTCTGTGCCACGCCGCAGAGATCATTGCCCACCTTGTGGCGCAGCGCACACCCCCATCCCCTACGAACGACGAGTTTGTTGGATGACCGAATACGTTGCGAAATCTTTTCACGACCTTCTCACGAGAGAATCGGAGTCGCCCTTCGACTCTGAATCTAGTAGGGGGAGCCATCACCCCTCGTGAGAATGCTTCATGGTAGGTACCCCCGAGGGATACATTGAAAGCATCCACGAGGGAGGGGCTACACCAACAGATGACCTCGACGATGAGTTCAAGGGGGATGTAGGGGCCCCATCTTGCCTGCGAGTAGAGCAGCTGAGGGCGCGACAACAAGAGCTCGAAGAAGTATGACTCCAGCTCGAGTAGGAATGCGCAGAGCTCGAGCGCCAAGGAGATGGTGGGCGTGCGCGCGCCGTGGCCCACGACGTGAATCGAAGGATCATCGAGGACGACGAAGCCCTCCCACACTTCACCCGGGCATGCCAGAACATCGCTGCCGCGGTGGCCTTGCTCTGGGGGCATTCGGAGCTCGGGACACCCGAGGATCATCAGGCCCATCGCGAGATTCACATGCTACTCGAGCATGCGGCAGCGTAGCAGGCCGAGTGCTCGCTGTCCCGACGACGTGAGCTCGACACCAGCCAGCGCGCGCCCTTAGAGCGACCCGAGAGGGACGTGTCAGTCCACTAGGCGCAGCGAGGTGGTGGGCCGTGTGCCGTGGCCCCGGTGCATGAGCGTCTTGGCCTCCACCATGATGCGCGCAACACACTGTATGCCCACAGGCATGCCCGCGGTGGTGAGAGGGAGGAGGCTAGCCATGGCTACCACCCTCGTCGTGGCAGACACAATGACAGCGGCGAGGATCGAAGTCCGAGCCCCGACTTGCCGGGACCTCAGGCCTTTGGCTGACACTTCCTCGACGCCATCTTCCCACCGCGGTACTGACCGTCGACCAAAATCCTAAAATACTCTGGGGAAACAAACCCTGGACTGTAGCTCGAGCATTATTGACTTGTTTGCCAAGCCGGTGGAGTGGATAGTGACAATTTCATTATCCACAACCTTCCATTGTTCCTGGTCGATTCGGCGTGAACGTGGTTGGAACACCTTCCGCCCAACCGAATCCAAAGTTGGGCGGACCTAAAAGAGATCTTCATGTTAAACTTCCAAGCACATATGCGTGTCCTGGGAACCCATGGGATCTCAAAAAC